TATCTCCAAACTTTACAATGAAACGTGGGGTTTTGAATAGAGCAATGGGCTCGGCTTGGCCAACTGCACCTTGTGTGAAAGTTTCACGTTCAATGTCGCAACTAGCCCAAAAAATATTTTTTGGTCGTCGTCTTCGAAGAGGTCGACCCCTGGATCCAGTTTGGCTGGTAGCGACATTGCGAAATCTGGGATTGGCAAGCTTGATCGTGAAGCTTGCACACATGGTTCGTTTGACCCCGACAAGCAACTTTTTCTAATGGAGGACCCCAAGTTTGATATTAAAAAACCGTGTTACAGGTTTCTTTATGTTTTACTTATGCTGTAATAGTGATGGAGATGTTTACTGCCAGTTGATGGTGTCGAGAGCAGTGTAGGCAAGGTATAGAGCTGGATGAAATGGCACGTGGTGGTTACACACACACTTCCTTGGCAGGCTGCTGCATAGATAGATGATGATGATTGCCTTTAGGAAGGTGAGTAGGTATACAACATCCAATAAAGAATGTGTATCAAAGTAGTCGATTTGTATGCGTACCTATATATCACGGTGATGGATGCTTATACATAACACATCCATGTTAGGCGTACGGGTTGAGCTGCATAAAAGCAATTAGTCTGATAATGCCGCACGGACCTTAATGACGCCACCTCCTGGCCACAGTAAAACCATGAACAGCTTCATTACAAGTGCTATGCTCAATTGAAGTCACAAGTAAAGGTAGTAATGGTCGATGTTATTTGACTCAAGTGGTAAGCGTAGCAAGCGGGGTGGGGTGGTGTGCACAAATTAAGGACAACGAGAGGGAAGACAATGAGCTCCTACTTCTCCACTCCCGCTTCACAAAGCAAGGTGAGACCAACTCCATTTACAAACTACACCCCTTTAACAGCCAGCATACCTTTCAATCTACAGTGCCAATTGAGTGAACAGGTGGTCAATGGCGGCACTATTTAGTTGTTGCAGACATTCAATACCAAGTACGCGCGCGATCTACCCATGACTCAAGCCTCCATTGCAATACAACGTGTACGTTCAATCGCTGCAGTACTTTATTATTCAAGCTGGTCGTTATGACACTATCATTTACGTGTAGCGTGCCGTTCTCTCGTTTATAGAGCATCCAAGAGGGTGGGGGCGCGTCATGTGTCGTGTATATTCTTTCTATGGTTGTTTCAAGGAGAGGTCCCCAACACATTGTTACTTTGGGTATGTTGACAAGGAAAGCAACTGGTATGGTTGTTATCTAACGTTGTATTCATTACAGCTTGAATACGTTGAATTATGGTGCCTGTGGCAGTGACAAGACCTTGATCTTAAAGCAAGAGCATTGGACGTATGTTTCACTTGTACGCGTGGTATTGGATCAACAGAAACAGGATCTGTTTATTAACGAGCCTTACAGTGAACCAGTGGATCATGTCAACAAGAAGCTACAACACTCATGTCTTTCAGAGTCACTAAGTTCATCTCAGCACCTTACGGTTCTCGTTATTGCTTGGGTGAGCAACCTCTCTTATCGGTGGATCACGTCAGCAACGAGCAACAAGTAACACTTGATATCTTTTGCAGCCAGCATGCTTTATTTCACCATTTGGTGATCCTCGTTACCAAGCAACGTTCGATTCCTTTGATGGACATGGTGGAAAGCACGTATGATATCGGTGGATCATATCAGCAACGAACAGCAACGCCAAGTATATACTTTGGTATCATCAAACTTTATCCTATCATCTGGTGGTTTTGGTTATTGGCAACTCGTTTGATGGGCATCTCTCAGCCCGCATCTCTTACCGGTGGATCATACCGTATCAGCAACAAGCAGCAGGGTGTATATCGTTGTGTGGCATCATGCTTATTCGACTTCTACATGGCTCTGGTTATCACGCAATGCTCCATTCCTTTACAAAACGGTTCCCAACATTCGTCTTTTGTATGGTCTCCTCTGCAGGAAGGAAGGTAGTTTTGGATCTTTGAAGGCATGTTGGTTACTGGATACTGGTTCATTCTTTGAAAGGGATTGCAAACACTCGTCTTTGTATGTAAATTTGGTGCATCGTGCAAGTATGCTGACTTTGGTGGTATCAAGATTACTAGTTCTTACGGCAATGTAGCGTGTAATTTAGAAGTGGATCGTTTACAATAAACGTCTTCAGTGGCTGTCATCAAACTTTATGTAAATGACTACTACCTATCGTTGATAAATAAAATCCCCATTCTTTTATAAAAACACTCGCCAACTTCTCATAATACACTCGAGTATCTTTGTGCAATGAAACATATCAATTTGTCTAGTAAAGACATCTTTTTGTATAAACCATTGACGACGGCGCCTCACGAACAGCGGACATTCTTCATAAAAAGAGCAAGGACGAGCATCACACCACCGACAATAAGTGGGAATAGGAACACCTGTCGCATCGAGTTCATGTATGCATGAATTATAGCTTCTTGTACTTGACTTGGCATGCGATGGATTGCAAAATAAGCAGCCCCAGCATTCCCCATGATGCGTTTAGCTTGTTCCTTCACGGCCAGAAGATTTGTTAACATTCCATTTAGCATGGGATGATTATTACCTACCTTTACTGTGTCATTCATAGAATCGATTTCTTTCGCTAATGTAACTTTATGCACCAGCTCAAAGATGGGCAATCCCTATTACAGGTGAAAATTATTACGTGGACTTCGTTTAGCATTGTCTTTCGTACTAAGGTGAATCCCATGGCTGATGTAAAGGTAACCTGTGTGTACTCTCGTTATTACTAGCTTGGAATGTGAGATGTGGATTTTAAATACATACCAGGCTAATGGCCGTGGCTGCTAGATCATTAGAACAAGTCGCTCTGGCACCGATAATAGTGGCGGTGCGTTCTAAAGGGACACCAAAAACTATGCACCCCTTTGTGTCAATACTGCCTGGTGGTGTATCCCACATCAAATCCTTCAATCCCATCTTACGTACATGCTGGCATAAAATAAAACGCTTGTTGTGCCCAGGAGCTAGTTGGAGTAAGTGTTTGGACAAGCCCATAAGCAACCATATGTAGGGTGGCATCGACAGCAAGAACGAGCTTAGTATGTTTGAAGATGCGAAAGAGAAAATGTGTCGCCACAGAACCTATTATTACCGCTCCCGTCGAAGGTAACAACCGAATAGCAGTCTCAAGGCCGCTTGCGCCGTAGACTGATTCAAAAAGAATGCTCATATAATAAAGCACCGGGCCAGCTATAAATTGCAACAACGCACGTTTGTTAACGAGTTGCACATATACATATCGAGTTTACGAGCATACCTATAAGATTGGAAGCGAATGAGAAAGCAAAAAAGAAAGAAGAGGAGCGATTGAAAACGACAACAGGAATAACCTAGAAATACATGGCAGTGTTGTTGGTCGTCGGTGAATGGTTTCTAGGAAGAAAAAAGCTCACTGGATCTTTTGCAAACAAGCTTTCCACGGCAATTAGGATAAGTAAACCCAACCCAGTTCCAATTGCTGTAGCAATTACGCGTGGTGAGCTCCAACTACGCATAATGATAAGTACCAGGTACAATAATCCTTGTCCAAATTTAGTGTATGTACCTGTCATCAGGACCCCATTGTAGAAACAACAACAAGGAGGAAACAAATCCAAAGTTAACCATGATCCCAAGCCAATCGATACGCTTCAGCTTTTGCAATGCAGAGGCTTCTTGTATGACCACAGTTTCCTGCACAAAGAAAACGACCATCAACAGGCTGATGGTGCCCAGGACCACATTTAGCCAAAACGCCCAGCGCCATGAGACTTGGTCAGTGAATACACCTCCTGTTTTGGATAAACCAGCATGATCAATACCACTGTTCCAATGATCGCACACCATCATTTTGCAATTTTATACCTATAATGGGTCCAACAAGATTGGAGATACCTATCACTAATGATAACATGGATTGGAAGAGAGCCTTTTTCTCAATCGGTGCGATATCATCCATAACAATGGCAGGAACGGTTAGACATACACCGCCACCAAGACCTTGTAATCCTCGAGCCACAACCAGTGTGGCAAAATTTGTTGCCAATGCAGCACCAATAGGGCAAAATGCAAAAAGAATTGTCGCCAGGATTAGCAGCAGTCGCCTAATGCAATACATTGGAAGCTATTCTTTGTTACGATTGAACATCGTCTACCTTCCAAAAATGTCTGAGAGCTATGGATAACATGCCTCCTTAATATTCGTTGTTGACTTGTGTGTGACCCATGTCGAGATGATATGTATGCATGTATGTACCTTTCCACTTATCGGCAGGATTGTGAGATAGGTTATCATGTAAGAAGTAACGATCCATTGACGACCATCAAGGTTACCCAGGTCGATGGCGATTCTTGTCAATGAAGGTGATAGCAACGTTATGTTAATACCGACCATAGCAAAACAAATGAGAACGGCCAACATCGCACCGCCTTGTCGAAAGCTCATTTTACTTTTGCTCATTGTGATGGCTGATTTTTCATGCTTTGATGCCACTTTTTCTGGGTGGGCTCGTGTTGAGCACATGCCGTCCTTATTGACAATAGACATTTGTATGTATATAAAAGGTGTTAAATAGAAAGTGGGCTGGTAATAGCTAATGCTTTTATATATACTCAGAAGAAAAGATGATGTTGTTGCATAATAAAGCTGCATGGTGAAAGCATTTATCGCCATTTTTATGCAACAAGTGCGTTGTAGTGTTTGAAAATTGAAGCAGCGTGGAATGGAATGTGATGAACTGTAAAAGCTGCATACACAATATGTATCATGCAATCAATAATAACAACGCCGTGGCAGAGATGCATGCATCTATCAAAGAAAACAAAATATTAAGCTCAAAGAGTGATACCCATAACAAACAAAAAGAGTTGTGGAAAACTTTATGCAACAGACCCAATAAAGAATGGGTAAGATGCACAACATGCTGTTATGTATTTATACCAAGGGGAGGGGGTGAGAAACAAGTGCATGCAACAAAGAAAGTAACAGTATAAGTATGTACAGGATTGAATGCTGACAAATAAAAGATGGAAAGAGGCACTGTGCAAATGGGCGGGGGGAGTAAAAATATATAAGTGTGTGCTTTGATTTCAATGCTTTAAGCGCGTTTTCGACGTTTTGCAGCCAATGTGGATGCCGCCAAGTTGAATTCATGTTGAGGCGCCGGCGTCTCTGAGCATGCTTGCGCCCAGGCTCGTTTCCCATCATTTGAAGGGATGACTGGTTGTTGAGGTTGTTGTACACCTGGCCAACCCATGGGCATGGTATTGGGAGGCATTGCGGTGGGTGTAGTGGGTGGTGGCATGGTAGCTGTTGGGTGGTATGATCCTACAAGTGGCGTTCCCATAGGTTGCTGTGATGGTTGTGGTGTATCCATAGGCATTCCAGGATAGGCAAGACCACCTGCAGCAGCAGCACTGGTAACCACAGGATGATTTTGAGTAGTGGTTGGTTGAGTAGCAAGTGGCATGGATGTAGAAAGAACAGGTTGTTGTTGTGTTGGTACAGATGGCATACTCGCTGCTGGAATGGCTGGTGTTTCTTGTGCTTGAGTGATTTCCTCAATGTAAGCAGATGATTGAGCACCACCACCACTACTACTTGCAGCACTACTACTTCCACTACTACTTGGCCCAGCTTGGTTGATCTCCGATATTTGTCCTTCTGGTACCAATTCGATAGAGCCTAAGCTGCGAGGAATGCCATTGGGTTCTTGAATACGTTGCATCACTTTCAAATGGGCGCAGTATTTTTCCAACATGCTGTACAAAGTGCGTTTGGAGAACGGCTTGGGTAAAATATCGGTCATGCCGCTTCCAACGTATTGCATGATGTCGTTGTCGGTAAAATTGGATGTCATGGAGATGATAGGTGTGAGCATGTCGTATTGTCGAATATTACGCGTGGCTGATACGCCGTCAAGATTTGGCATCACAATGTCCTAATCATATATACATGATAAGTATACCATATCACCGTACATATAATATACACACAAACATACCATCAAAATCAAGTCATACTTCTCGGCATTCATCTTGTGTAATGCTTCAACACCATCCTTGGCAAGATCAATTGTACATCCAATCATGTTGAGCAATTTTCCACTAAGGTCACGATACACAGAGTCATCATCCACAAGAAGCACACGCGGCGGCACTGTCCATCCATTGCCATTTGACTTTCTTGAAAGACTTAGTCCACCAGCTACGTTGCTATTGCTTGCCGATGCACGTTGTGATGCTTGAGAAGATGAAGGATCCATCATGTTGTTGTTGTTGTTGTTCTCGCATTGGGACAAAGGTGTCTTTGCATCATTGGTTTGTCGAGGTGTGATACGACCCACCGTAACAAATGCAAGACCATCAGGCGTTTTCAAAGGTGATCCAACCAAACTACCCGCATTCATCGCTGCTGCTGCTACTGCTGCTGCTGAAGGATCTTGTGGCAAGCCAAGTACAGGTGGTACACCAAGGTCGGGTTGTGAAGGCACCATTCGTTCTGGGCCCGATGATGGAACAGATGACGCCCACGATGATTGTGATTGTTGTAGTTGCTTTTCAATGATGCCCATTTGTTGCGTATTCGACTCGGTAAGTTTGGCGTAAGAATCCAATAGCTTTTGTGTCTCTGCTGATAGAGTACTGCCATTCATTAAAGTACCACCCTGAGAAGCTGCAGCATCTATGTCACATGATCATGTCAGCTTTTGGGATAAACGGGTAAGTGGGTGATGAATCAATACATACTTTTATCACGCTCTATGGCAATATGCAGAAATTGCTTGATGAGCTCATCCTTGGCTGCCATGTTCTTGCTTAGACTGACAAACTCGCCAAGTATGGTCGTGTCGTGTTGTCGTAATCGCTGCAAAGTGCCATCCATATCCTTTTGAGACTGCTGCAATTGTGCAATTTGTTGTTGAAGCGTCTCTGCCATTTTGCGGATCTCGAATACAGATTCGGCTGTATTGCTGTCGTCGTCGTTTTGTTGTTGGCCATCAGTCGTTGAATTCTTATCTTTGGCAGGTGCCGAAGCGTCATCCTTTTTGTTCTTGCCAGGTGTTTTGCGACGAATCTCCTCAAGCAAATCTTTCCTATCGCGTCGAAACTTTGGGTGTACAAACTCCCATGCCTAGTACAATAGCATAATAAGTATACAAGAAGCAAATAGAAACATTCTCCTCCTATTTACCTGATCACCATACGGCTTGTGACCATCATCCGCATTTCGCACCTTGTGGAAATCGTACTTGTTCAATTGTCGAACAAAGCTTGCAAAGTTGCAGTGCTTAAAGTGCTTGGGCAGAATGGTCTTTGAAAATTCATTGGTATCCTTGACAATGAAAGTGGTGCCGTCAGGTCCCCAACAAAATGTATCTCGAAACGCCTTGTTCTCAAGCATCCTGCAATAAATGAAGACACTTAGATCCATGCATTTGAATAGAAACAACCCCATTGTCCATCATGAATATGAGTCGCCACCCATCCATTGCTCTATTTCCCTCGTATTGTACCCCTTTTTTCCTGCACCCATACTCGAAACCGACATTATACCTGAACAGCTTTTGAATGAATTCAGGCACTGAGCCTGCACCGTCTCCAGCTCTTGCATTGGTGGTTCTGTAGAGAAAGAGGCTGTCAGCATTATAGGCCAAAGTCATGTATAGGTGTGTGTCAATGCTACTTGCCGTTTGTTGGTGAGAGGGTAATCCGGTTTTACATCGTTGGAATCCATATTTGTAGTTGACCTGCTTAATCTTGGAGGAATAACAAGTCGATTGGCCAACTGGTGGATTCAATGGGGACGGGTTGATAAGGTAAAGAAAGGAAAAGAGAGGAAGAAAAAAGTGTGTGTGTGTATTGTGGGTATGTGTAAGAGACAGTTTTCTTGACCCGCCGACCTCTTTTTCGACACCTAACGTGGTGGAGCATCCTTTACTCGATTCGGCAAGAAACCCCGCTTCTAGTGCTTCATGTTTGGCTTTTTGTCATCACTTTAACATGCTCCCTCATCACTGAGTGAATATCCTTCTTGAGGTATAGAATGTCATTGGTAACTTCATTCACTAGAACAATAAGCATAGTCATTGTCTTTTATAAATGAAAAAGAATTTCTATTGTTCCCTCCCATTATCACTTTCATGTCTCCTTTCATATCGGATCCTCACTAAAATGTGGTCGGCATTTCGACGGATGCTATTCTTGGCAGATTTGTTGTTTCATAAACTTTTAGTGAGATTGTATTTTCATTTCTTGTGGTGGCGGGTCCCACTTTATCGTCAACTAATCTTTCCTGGGGCAAGCGGTTCTTTTTTAGCTTGTGTGTCAATAACATCCTTTGCTGACACTTTTACGCAGTTCCCCGATAATTACTTTGTTGTCCCAACATTTTCTTCTCCTCTCTACAGGTCCCCCTCATCCGATTGGTTTCTTGGTCAGGGTACCATCCTCTACCTTACCAAATCGGTAGGACACAACTATGGATCGGTAACGGTGCACACGCGCACATACACATACACACACTCTCTCTCTGGCACACACACACATATACGACATTTGAAAGGGATCTACATTTGAACAGGAGCTCAATCCATCCAAAAGACCGACCGCCAGCGGTATCAAACAACCCAACTTCTCAATGGTTAGGTTATCTTTGGATCACTCACTATGCTTAAATCAGTCATAACGTGACAAAAGGCGTACTATGATAATAGTGCTTGGTCAACAGACCTCTACTCATGAATCATTATTTATGTGCGTATTAGTAGTATCTGGCATATGTTTCGGCTGGTGTAGTATGTACGTCACTATTGCATCTAATGAGCCTGTTTCATGTAATGATAGAGTAGCAGTGGCTTGTGAACGGCTACACCCGAGACATTAACAATCATAATAATTATTCAAGGAACATGCTCGGATTGAGTAGTGAAATAGCTAGGATCCACATGTGTTGCTGTGTCATTTTGAAACCTTGATTGCTCATGATGGAATCTTCTCAGAAAAATGAATGGGGCTTCCAGCCATCAAGTATAAGCAATATCTGTCAAAAAGGTAGGCATCCGAGAAATGTACTACATACGATCCTGTATTGCAATGTACGACAAGCGCTTTGTGAATTGCTCTATTATGGAATAGCAGCAAAACGTCGATCCGATCGCACCATCATCCAAGTTGCCACATTACCGAAGCTAGCGATACGGTTGCTATAGCTTTCAAAAGCGCTGTGTTATGCACTCCATGTAAGATGGGGTCGTCGCTATGATGTTGAAAAAGGCTCGTTTTTATGCTATGATGATGTCTCTTTATTATGACATGACATTTGACGATTGAAAAGACTATACTACGCTATCATTATCATTTCCTTGTCGAGAATTCCATCCATGTTGAATATCAAGAGGAGGAGGTGTTGTAACATAGCAACCAACCTTTGGGTTGACATGGGGATGGTGGTCATGCGCACGTGATCGCTCGTGCATTGAATTTCCAGTCATCAGAAGCTTCAACTTTGGCGTGCCTTCTTTGTCTCTTTTACACATTACCACCATGGAAACACAGCTAATGACAGTTCTCGACGACATGTAAGCATACTTGGTATCAATGACGGTTGGCAAGTGATTGCTGACATTGGTGTAGAGCCAACAGGGAAGGTGTTCAAGGCGTGCTCATTGCCGATGAGAAGGGATTGTGTCTCGGAAGTATGTAAAGCGACAGCCACGCACGCAATCGAACTTGTCCCATTGATAACGTATGTTTTCTCATATAGCTCGAGGCGTTGCAAAGAGTGAGACAGCAGCTTTTGCAGCATCTATTGCACGAACGGCACGCGAGTTGCTTCCACCAGGGACTACTGAGCTAAACGATAGGACCGATTATCCTACCATCAACATTGACTACAAGAATCAGTAAGTCTTTTGCAAAATGGATGGATCCGGTTATGATGTATTGAGATGTTTTATTCAATAGCAAAGTGGTTATCCGCAACGAAGGCTCTTTTACGCTTGCTATCTTCATGTAGTAGATGACATCCTATTCCCCTATTCACTCGATATCTGCCTTATCTCTTCTTGCTACTTTTTCGCAAAGAAGCTGGTGATCTTTTTCTTATTCTTGCTCTTATCAGTGGTGGTGGCGGCTTGTGCGGATCTTAGTTTCTTTTTGATTGGATCATCTTGTGAGTCTTTATCAGCGCTTCGCTTGGAAGGTGTTATTGACGCCGGCTGTTGTTTCTCCTGTTCTTTGGGTTTGGTTGTGGATGCAGATGGATGGGATTTCTTTGTGGCAGGAGCGGTGGATGATTTACTGAAAAAGTTGGAGATGGATCCCTTGAGTTGGTCAACAGGTATAACAAAGTCGGATGAATTATTGGTGGTAGGCCCAACAGCATCAGTGACCTGGTAGCTGCATGAATGATTGGAGTTAATTTTGGGGATCATTGGGATAGCTTGTATACTTGCCAATCCAATTCGCCTTCGTATGGCTTCATGATATTGGACATGTCTTTACTCCACGGCTCTGAAGACAACCATTTTTCCACCTCTGGTGATCCATTCTCGAGGATAACAGGCATCCGGTCATGGAGGAAGGAAAAGAATTTGGATGGTGACGTGGTGACTATAGTGCACGTATACAAGGACTGGCCTATGTGGATGATGGGGTAGGTCAAAATGTTGTACATGCATCAACGTGTCATTTCTTAGTGGTACCATCAATATTTGAATGATCATAGAGACCAGCAAACAGCATCAGCTTTCCATCCTTGCGCTTTGTGTAATAAGGAATCTTCTTCTTTTCGGTTAGCTTCTTCCACTCAAAGAATCTATAAAGGTGGTGTTTAAAAATTGTGTTATTCATGCAACTCTATGGATCGTCTTTTTATTACCCTTCCGCAACAACAATGCAACGCCCTTTGTTTTTCGCATGGTCAAACATGGAGTGGCCTACACTGAGAGTTTCATCACGTGCATTGATTGGCTATGTAGGATAGGCAAGAATGAATGTTGCTTTTCTTTCTCAATTTGCATCATCAAACTTGATACTCAACCTGATTATCGGGTGTGTGCTTTGCCCACGAAGGGATGAATCCCCATTTCTGCAGTGATAGCATTGCTTAGGAACATGAATACTTCCGACAAGCCAATGATTAACTTGCCATGGTTTGCAGGATCAAGTCATTATTATCAGCGTAGCGCACAACAGGGATCCATTTACGAGGTGCAACGTTGTAACTAGGATGGAAATAGTCCTCGTCATTCCATTTATCAGACACAGCCACGTCGCTTGACCGGAGTGTTGTACGCAGCTCGTATGGGCACAAGGAACAAGCAAAACGACCACACATTGAGAATAGGTGATAGAAAGAGAGATAGAGAGAGAGTACGTGTGTCAAGAAAGGGAAAAAGAGCAGCGGTGGTTGAGAATGGGATAAAAAAGAGATGACAATAACACACGTGAGCAGCAGCAGATATGGGTAGACTTTATACTTTAGAACCGTCACTACTTTTTATGACTACTGATGTGATGGGGTGGGCGGGGGAATAGTGTACATCCATGATTCATCCACTCCATAATACAACATATGCACTCTCATAGTATAATGGTTATCACATTTTATGAGTAGATGGATGATGACAAATTACATCGATTGCTGCAAGCATGAGGTAAAAGAAAGACGAAGAAAATATTTTTCAAAGAAGCGAGCTGATTGGCCAAGTTCTTTTGGATTGACCAGTGAAGGCCGCCTTTGCCATGAAAACAGAGAGCCGGTGGTGCGTTGAGAGCAGCGTTGATTTTTTTTACCCTTTGCTCTTTGGTCGTCTTGGGTGTGGTTTTTCCCTTTTCAAAAGCTCCACAATCCAGAATCTACTATCAACTACTGTCAAGAAACACAAATGACTTCAATGCCATCGCCTCATTTGTCTACAACAGAGACAACCCCCACCACCAGGGACGATGACCACCTTACACCCGTGACTAGTAGTAGTCCCACAGCCTTGACTGCTGCCTCCTACCACGCTATGCTAGCTGCTGTCAATAGCCAAAAGGTCCCTTCACTCACTCAGGATAATCTTATTGCTGCTGCCGCTGCTGCCGCTGCAGCTATTGCCAACGGTGATACTCAAGGCTTGCAACTACCACAACAACCGCAAACTGCAACACCGCCCAAAAGCACAAGCAACCATCACCACAGCCGTTGTAAGCCGATCCATGAATTGGATGCTGCCAAAAGAGATAGTATTCGAGCAGCTAACCGTGAACGGAAAAAGAAATGGCGTATCCACAATGAGGAAAGAAGTAAGTTCAATGGTTCATTTTTACATTGGTTTATTGTTTTCCTAACAGAGGATCTCTTTTTTTAGACAAGGACAATGATTTACGTTGTCGAGTGAACAAACGAGCCACCAAACTATATGGCCCCGAGGATACCAAAGAGAAGCGTCAATGGGCACAAGAGGAATTTGAGAAGAGACGAGAAAAGCGTATGGAAAAGGAACGCCGCAAAAACATTGTCGACAATGTTATGAGTGTGCCACCTGACAGCCCATCATCATCAAGCAATGGTGGTGTCATCCCTTCATCAACCGCAACATCATCACCACAACAACAACCATCGTCTCCAAGGCAACAAGCAGCAGCAGCAGTTGCAGCAGCAGTTGCATCATCCGCTGAGCAATTATCCTTTTATCCAACATCTACTTCATCCACAACACCACCACCTTTGGTTGATCCTGCAGCTGCAGCCAAGATGCTTGATTTCCCACCTGATTTGCAACGACAATTACTGGAACAGCTTAATAACATGATTGTAAGTTGTAGATTGAGAAACTTGCCTATTTCTTGTATACTCACGCAAATCACATAGGCCATGACAAATGCTGGTCGATTGTCCGCTGCCCCTGACGACTTGGTTCATCATCAAGATCAATCACAAGATCCAACATTGCAACCTGACACCAACGTAAAAATTGAGTCCGACACATCACCATCACAACAACAACAACAACAACAAGAAGCAGCAACTGCATCCAGCTCCACTAGTGGCAGTGAATGTAATAGTGGGCAGAATACACCAGTGACTATCAAGCAAGACGCAATGGATCATGATAGCGAGGAAAATCACCAAGAAGATGTAGATGATGGCGACGGCAAACAAGAAGGGAAACGACCCGAGTATACCATGGATGCAGTGTTGACCTTGATGCAATTGAATGCAGGCTGGCGAGAATAATCATTCATCCCCATCTAACCCACCACCCCTCTCCCCTTTTTTCTTCCCTTTTCTCCCTTGTACTTATTTTTTCCATACACTTTCGATCCCATTGTTATTCCTTCTTGAACAAAAAGTGTTATTATATATCGCATTTGATTGTAACAAAGTAAAAAGCTACCCCCCATTTATTTGATTGTATGTATATGTTGTACTTTGGGTATATCTAAGAAGCTACATTTGAGGAAGGTAGTAGAGTGCTGAGCCCAAGATGTGAACTGCGGAGGTAAAGTTTTCAGGCTAAAAGCGACCAGTGTTCGTTAACTTTCTATAGTTGTTCTTCTTTTCTCACATTACGACTTTATAACAGCATGCGTACTACACTTTTTGTTGCTGGTTTTGGTTCGAGAACACGAGCAAGAGACCTTGCCTATGAGTTTGAAAGGTACTTTTTCTGCCAGACAGGGGAACCGTCAGCCCATCACCATCACCACGTCGTCATGGCCTGAACGAGTCGAGTCGTGAGAAGAGTTATTGTGTCCTCTCAATACCTATACGCAAAAAAAACGCATGACGAATTCGACGTTCTCTATTTCTCTTTCTCTCTCTCTCTCAACGAACGACTTGAACAATGCCGACTCTTTTTCACGGTCGACGATGACGATATCTAGTTCGGTTCTCTCCCCTGCGTCTGCTTAGCAACCATATGTGTGTGTGTATATTATTCCTTGACGACTAACGACCCATCCTATCCTCATTCGCGTATCCAAAAGATATGGCCGTCTTGTGCGTTGTGATATTCCTGCTCCAAAGAGTTACACAGCACGCCCGTAAGTCATTATATGAGGCACATCACCCATTGAAGAAGACTCATCTTTTGGATTAGATATGCATTTGTAGAATTTGAAGATCCTCGTGATGCAGAAGATGCATTCAACGAAATGCATGGTCGTCGTATTGATGGATACACCATTAGCGTACAGGTATTTATTTGTGGGATGGGTGAGGATGGAGAACACAACGTGGCATATAGATGGCTGACAACTCTTTATTCATGATAGTGGGCAAGAAATGCACCTAGTGCTTCATGGCGTTTTGACAGAGGGTCTCCACCACCTTCACGTCGACCTCGTTCACCATCACCACCTCCACGTAGCTATAGTCGATCTTATGGTCGTTCTCGTAGTCCTTATTATCGAGGTCGTTCGCCTAGTCCCTATTATCGTGGTCGTTCTCGTAGTCCATATTATCGTGGCCGTTCTCGCAGTCCTTATTATCGTGGTCGTTCCATTTCTCGTTCACCTCCTCCACGATATCGTTATGGTTCGCGTTCAAGATCTCCACCACCTCCACCACCTCCACCCCATGGTCATGAAGTTGATTATCAATCCATTCGTTCACGTTCACGTACCCCTGAACGCCGTGATTCACGAACATCGCCACCTCCACCACAACAACAACAACCACCAACAGCTGCTCAACCTGTTGCTGCTGCTGCTGCTGCTGCTCCTGTTACCACAACAACCACTGCTGGTGCCCCTGAGCATTAAACAAAGCATATATATACACCACACACACACACATACATTCCATTTGACAATCACACACTCCCATTGTCCCCCACCCTACCCAACTCTCTATTCACCCCCCAACAACTTGAACTATAAAAATGATATCATTTACATTTATTCAGCTACAAGTGTCGATATGATTTGCATCTAGAATATGCTGTACATGTTGCACAAAGGGTCTTGTACGTGCAATGTCGCGCACCGGTGTCTTAAAGACAATGTTCAATAATCGTGCCAATGCATCCAATGCGTGATTCTTGAGAGCCGTATCATTCTGAACATGGTATTCCATAATTTCACATGCCTGCTTGAGCTCATGAATACAAGGTCTAAAATAACAATCCATGGGATCCTGAGATTTTGTCCATCCTTCAAATAACAAGACCAAAGCAAATGCTGATGCACTACAACGTTCCACAGATACAGGGGTCGGCAAATAGGTTTGATGTAGCAAGATCCAATGGCCGTGGTGCCTGATACGATGCATGTAGATACACCTTGTATACCATACATTGTCACTTTTCGATTCCAACAATGGCTTCAAGTGCTTTTCTCGGAATGTTTCCAGCTGCTGCTCAATCCGTTCGACTTGGTTATAGGGCACATGTTGTGCATCACTGGCAAAGCATGTGCGTCGGATATCACGTGTGATTTGACATGTATCGAATTCGAGGATGCGGAATGTATCTTGGTAATCGTTTTGTTTCTGGTGTAGCGATGTAAGGGAAAAGGCCGGGTTGTTGAGATGCACTTCATAAGGTTTGTTGTGGTAATGGGATGCTGATGTATCGAGGAAATACAAAAACCAGCGCACGGATTGGGTATATTGCACAATGTCAGCAGCGGTCGTCGTTGATGATGATGATGATGATGATGATGATGATGATAATTCATGTCGTATGGCAGCTTCATCTTGCATATCCAGGCTTGCTGCCATGCGTACCGCCATTCCCGTATACATGTAAATCAATGATGTATTCCCACTCTCGATATGAAAGAGCACCAGGTTGCATAATGCATGGCATATCATGACATTGGGTTCCTCAAAATAAAGTTGTGATAATAGATCCTTGGCTCGATCATAATATTGCTGCGATATTCGTGCACATTGATCCATCGTCATGGTGCTCTCGTTGCTGTCATTGAATACTTCAGAATGCCAGCAATAGGCATGTAGCAGCATGTTGCATATGCAAGAGGCTAATAAAAGCTGTAACACGGGAGAGGCGCTGACACGATCTCTATCCAGTAGAGCATCATGCAATAATCTTGAATACTCGGGAATCGATCCATGTAGTAGACAATGTGGATATAGTTCCATAAGACGCACCATCGTGTCTCGCGATAGCTTGTTCTTGGACCAAGGATCCTCATCCACATCCATATCGGCCGATGAAGGTGGTGTGAGCCCTGATGATGATGGAAGGAGACTCGTGAAATGACTCAATTTGACAGTAGGATAGATGGTGTTGTTCCTTGTGAGCCAAGCTTGTGGAAAACGTGATGACGATGATGAGGATGAAGAAGAGGCGGCGGTAGTGGTGGTGAAATGTGATGATGGTAGTAACGAAGGTGGTGTAGCTTCGTTGTCAAGGGCAAACTGGATCAACGCAGCATAAATTTCTTCCACATGATGCATATGCGTCTCGATCGATATCCCACTCTTCTCGCTTCGTATACGCCATGATCGTAACGCATCTGTTTGCACTGGACATGTCGTTGCTGAGGGTGGTGCTGGTGCTGTTGCTGTGGGTGACATGGGCTCTCTATCGTACACAAGCTTCTCGATGATATCGAATTCATTCAAAAGAGACTGTATTTGGTCCTCAAGGCCATAGAAACGATCACGCAGCGCCGTACTAGAAAGATCGCCGGGCGCATCAAGGTATTCACAGACGACATTGGCGGCAATGCATTGGTCACAAGACGGTCGTGATCGTGAGCATTTGGATCGATGTTTGCGACACCTATTGATAGTACCCATTGTTAGTGGAATGGACTCCTGCCAATGGCCTGCGTGTTTAGAGTACTTGCCTTTGACAAGATAAGGCTTGTCGTATCCTTCGTCGAATAGGCTTATCAGTTGGATCACCACCCCCAGGTTTGGTAAGAGCTTGGTCTATCCTTGCCACAGTGGATTCTTGCATATCGGGCAGAACAAGATGAACAGTATCAATGCTCTGACACCGCTCTTTACCCAGCCCGACTTTGTGGATTATGCACAGATCATCTCTTTTTCTTTATTAATAAACGTGGATTAAGCCTACTTTGATAATGTGATATTGGATTTCTACCTTGAGTGCTGATCCGTAAGCTGCTGCTTATACGATAGGCTATGTAGGACCCCCTTTCTTCAGCAGGAATCTTGCGTTCGATAGATGTCGTTTAAAAGATATTCCCTCTTACTCTCTATCTCGAGGCGTGTGATTTGAATGAACCAAGCTTGATAACGTATCATTGGATAAGAAAGTATAATAATACATCAGCAGATAATGAGAGGGGGGTGTTGTTGTTCTAGGAGTGATGACCCACATTGATTATCCAACATGATGAGATACTACAAAGAAATGTGGATGATAGTGTAGTAAATGCGTGGGATCATTGTTGTTGCACATTCATGTGTATGTGTGTGAGCGTGGGCGGCAACTGCAAATGTTTGTAAAACATGCAGCAGCATACAACAATGAGAGCTGTGTTTCCGCTTTTAAAGAACATCCTCATTTGACACACTTTCATTATCCCCTCACTCTTCCCATTAAAATCATGCTCAAAAGTAGCACTCCTACAAGCGCCACAAACAACATGGACTATATTGACTCTTACGATAATACACAGGTGGGGCAACATTGGAGAACCCAATCAACACGCGCACAAGACTAATCTCTAGCTGATCAGACACACCATCGAGAGACGTTGACCCTTGCTTCCTTGTTGAGCATTGATGTGGAAAGCGTCCCCAAGCTTGCCAGTGTGACCGAGTGGTTGGACCTCATGTGTCGATCGGAACGACGTACCGGCATCAGCTTGCTCACCGATGACCAAAAGGAGTCTATCCGCCAATTTGATACAGAGCTTGTGGACGAGACTCTTCACCTGAACGTAGCCGAATTCCTTCAACTGATACAACGGTTGGCACAATGTGGACCAGATGATTATATGTCTTCAGAAACATCATCCGTAATGCAACCTTTCAATTCACCAGCCACACCTCCTCCCAATGGTGGTGAATATCGTCCTTCTTATCTTGAACCACCCACTGCAACAGCAGCAGCAACAAACCCTACACGATCACGATCATTGACTCCAAGACAACAACAACAACAAGCATCATCATCCGCTTCTCCACGACCACAAGCATCCTCTTCTTTGGATCACCGACAACGCACCACCCATTTATTAAATCAAGTTCAACAAAGGCTGCAACGTAGTGATCGACACCGGGATGAACATGATAACGATTCACATCATGATGACGACGACCAAGATGCCGGTAGAGTGTCTCCTAGTACAAACCATCCATCCGTGTCTGAAGTATCCGTATGTTTCATTGTTGGTCATTTGAACAAAGAGCATGCTCATTGATCCTTTTCTTTTGTGATAGAGTTTGGATGAATTCAATGATCACATTCGCCCAAAACATCATCCCATCGTGACGTTTCAAGGAACAAAAGGCAAATCCAAGCAAGATGACTATTTCATGTACAATTATGAGGTGAATAATGATTCATGTCACTTACATGACCCAATGCGGGTGACTGATGAATTGCTGAATTTAGTCTGATACACGGCCGACCACGTCCTTATCACGTCATCAAGGTGATGAACGGCGATGGCAAGAAGCTGAGCGACGATTAGAAAGCCTGACAAAGAGCTATGATGAGAGAATGGGCCAAATGGAAGTTGAACTTGGGAACATGCGACACGAGACCCTCATGTATAAGGCCACCATCCGCGACTATCAAGCTTCCGATAAAGAGAACAAGACACGCATTGAAGAGGTAAGTACTCATACATCATGCAAGTTTTGATTCTGATCAATGTACCTTAACTATCCTTTTAGCTTGAAAAAGCCATCGAGTCAGCCACTCTCAAGGGAAATACACAACGCCAGACTATTGATGACCTTGAAAGCGAATTGAAACTCTATACAGGTAAATCAGTGGATGTTATGTCATCATGACATTGCTTGCTCAATACCATATATAGACCAAACAGAAGAACTCAAGGAAAGGTTATCCACAAAGGAGAAGGAGTTGTCACACCATGTGAAAAAGTATGAGCAACTGAGATCCGACATGGAAGAGCTTGAAAGAGCACAAGAGGAATTGACACAGCTACGGACCGAGTTATCGAGGCAATACCATGAGGTGGAAGAGCAGCGGACACGATCAAAAAATCTCGAGGCCGAGAATGAGAATCTCAAGGAGAACATTGATTTATTGAAAACCGAGCTTGATGAGTCAAGGCCAACAGGCGATTTATATGGGCTAAAACCACTCCAGGTATGTATCCTTTACGTTCTACGTACGCCGACTTCTTACATTTCCCATAGACTTTAGACGCTGAGTTGGCTGGCACAATCCCCGTGAATGGCACAATGCAGGACAAGGTAAATCATATTTTATCGTCTGTGGTTACGGTGTTGCTAATTTACCATTTCTTTTGATCACAGCTGGAAAAATTGGCAAATGAACGTGATGAGTACAAGGCTCAAGCATCAGAGGAAAGGAACCATGGTATGATAGAAGGCATTTGGACGAAGGCTAGCATTGCTCACTGAAATTATTAGCAAACGAGCTGTATCAACAAGTCGACTCACTAGCACAAGAGCGAGATGAATACAAACGGGAGGCTTTTGCTGCAATAGAAGAGGCTGGGAAAGGTAAATCTTGTTTGTAGTTGAGCTATCCTAGTGGTCTAATGGGCTTTGTTTTCGTTTTCTTTAGCGAGTCAAAAATACAAGCACTTGCAGGATGAGAACCAACGGCTGAAAGAGCAAATGGTCCAATTACAAGAAAAGAGGCGTAGCATGCGTAACAAGGTTGTCCCAGCTAGCGATGCAGGATCACAATGTGACCTAGTTCCATCAAAGCCTTATCAGACAATCCGGCGCCTATCAACTCAGCTGCAAGAACAAGAAGATACCATCAAGCGTCTTATTGAAACTACTCAAGAGCAAGCACTCGAGGTGGAGCGATCAAAACGAGGTAAAAAAAAAGTTCTCGAATATGATCTTATCAGGATGGCTAAGACGCCGTTTCATTTAGTAAACTGGATGGCTATCTTCCTGGCGTTGCTTCTTGGGATTTTGTCTGTTGTTATCTTAGAGGCGGTTGTTGACTGGCTACTTATCCCGTCGACGCTTGGCATTGAGGATACCGACTTTTACTCGCAATACCCAGTGTACGAACCACAAGCAGCTGGAATTAGAAAGTGGATGGTGGCAATGCTAGACTTTGGCGATGACATGAGTATTCTAATACAATAACCCAATCCCCAACACCCCCCTATATCCTTCATCTTCGTGTAAAAAGAATCCCCCATCAGCATCATCCCTCATCTTTTCAGCATTCTTTGCTTTGAATTCATTAAGAATTGTACAAAATACATTATTATTATCAAAACTTCTCTTGTGTAAACTGTGCGCTGGCCTCTCGATTACGCTGCATTTGTTCTTCGTTTTCTTTTTCAAGAATCTCCTCGATTTCGTCAAGTGTCAAGTCATCTGGATTAAGATTATGCCTTTGGATATAGGCTCGGGCATTTCTAGAAACCAAATGAGTGGATACGTAATGCAATACAAGAAGGTATAAAATGACTTACAACGAGCGACTTAATCCACGACAAACGTTGATTCTAAAGTGCCACACTGGAACACAGAGCAACAGGAACCCCAATGCGCAAGTGGGATAGACCCAATAAGGAATGGAGGGTGTATCGGAAACAACGGGAGGCACGAATGGGGCTATTGCCATAAAGAGCGCAATCAAAACAAAGATGACATTCAAAGGCATCCATGATCGAAATGGGCGTGGTGTGTCAGGCTCGCGATATCGTAGGTACATGAGTCCAATAATAGTAAGACAAAAAAAGATGCTCATTGGATCTACATGTGTTACAATAAAAAGCTGTCAACACCCCACTTGTGGGATCGTCATACATAAAGCAAAGTTTACTTACATGAACAAAGATTAAGCACGAAATTGTATGCATCTCCAGGAGGAGGAGCAAGCATGTAAAGCATGGTCATCACCCAATACAATATCAAAATGTTTGCTGGTGTATGGCGAGAGCTGACTTGGCCAAAGAAATTGCTGAATGGGATGTACCCCTCTTTGGCAGCTTCCAACATTACACGGCTTCCTGAATATGTCATGGAACTTGTGCAACCAAATGTGCTGAGAGCAATCAGCAACGGCATCACAATATTAGCCTTTTCTCCAAAGATCCGCACCAAGAATTCGCCAGCGATCGTATTGGTGGATGAACCTCCAGCGCCTCCTAGTAACACCTCTTTGGGTACGACACTGAAATAGGCAATGTTGGCAATCATAAAAAGCGTTGCGAGCAATGAAATGGCTGATATGGAGGCTACTTTGAGTGTGCGAATGGGGTTCTTAAGCTCGTCCATGATGTAGGTTGCATTGTTCCATCCAGAGTATGCATAAAGGACCTTGAGCATAGCTGCTGCATATTCATTACCACTCCTCCTTGTTCCTTCAAAGGCATTAGAGAAGGCATCAATTGGTGTAACTCCCGAGATCCCGCCTGCAGCAGCAATCAAACCGGTCAAGCAAACAAAGATCAGCATAATAATTTTGAGGAATGACATGGTATTGTTGATTCGAAGACCCCATTTTGCCGACCATGCATGCAAAAGGCAAATGGTAGTGTTGACTGCCACACCAATCCCTCGCTCAACCCATGGATTCGCGTTCCTTTTACCAGCTGAAAAGTGTTGTAAACTTGTTAACCGGATACATACATGTGTCTTTGTGAGAGCGTTGTACCTGCTAATAGAATATACTAATGGTGAAAATAAACAACATGAGCACATGGATACATGCATCCCGTTGCTTGTGAAATTTACCGATGCAGTGGCATGTGCGTCTGCTGAGCTGCTAGATGTGTTGGTCAAAAACATATAGGACATGGTAAACATAAAAGGCGCAAGTCGTTTAGGTTTCCTGTAGGCTGTTGGGGTGTGGATGATATGTAAGCATGATGCTATGCTGTTGTTAGCTGCATTGTTTACCGTAATTTAGATATTCCTTTTCACCGCCAGATCGGGGAAGCATCTAAAATTGCCAACTCTTTAGCAGCAAATCAAGCTGCAGAAATGATCCCACGATCCCCTTCCTTACCGCACCCAGCTCTATAAACGCCATCACACCGATGATACTGTATACAGCACCAATGACCCATAACATTAAAGACATACCGACGGAGCCTACACTCATCAGGATACCAGCTGGTGCTGAGAAGATGCCACTGCCAATGCATATCCCGCAAATCAGCATGGTTGCTGACAAGTAGATTATACCAATAGCTAGTGAGTTGCCTTTGTACGTGTGTTGCACTACAACTACTCTGATGAGCATTGTATGTATGTATCACACCTGAAAACATTCCCATGGTTCTTTCGAGACGAGGTTCTTCTAGCTGAGGCTTTTCCTCTTCATGGTTGTTTAGGACATCGTCTTTTAGTAAAATGTCGTTGCTGTCAACGCTCGTTTTGGTGTATTCGTCCATGTTGTTGTGGTATACAGGGGAAAGAAAAGTGAAACGAAAGAAAGGAATACGAGCTAATACATCGACGCCATGCTCTTTTACGATGAAATATGCATGATAGCGTCGCATGCAGCAGCCACATGCATAACATTTTGTCCTTCCCCTTGCTCTCCTTTCTTTCCCTGTACATGCAGCAACAGCATAACAATCCATGCTTTCAAATAACGCGAAGAAGGATGAAGCTATTGTGTATTTGTGTTTAACAACATCTGTAGTGGCATGCAACATGTGGTCATAGGTATTGAGTTCAACAACATTGTCGTTTTAATAGCTGACAGGTGCAGGATGTGTAATAATGGGGAGCTTGAATAAGCTTGGTTGGTCCCTGAACCCCTGTTCACAGTACATAATACTACTGCTTCAAAAAAGCGTGAGGGAGCAAAATCATTGATAATGTTCGTAACATGGTACATGGTCTTGGATTACTGTCAAGGGCTATGTCTCCATAAATGGGTATCGGTGCCACAGCTACCATGCCTTTCAACCTAACATTATATGGCCATTGTGGTACTTGCAAATGATCCGACAGGAGCACCGAGTACATGGATTTCATGCGAACCACACATTATAAATGCGAGCTAACAGCATCTTCCTCCCATTCTCCATTGTTGCCCAACCCAATACATGTGAACGATTGTCCTGCTCCAGCCGAGCATCTCCATCATTCAAGTCTCTTGATCCATGGGGATTTGACTGAAAAACGCTCATCAAACACAAAACATCATCCAATTTCACAAAAATTATTATGCAAAGTTATTTGTAAACTGCCAGCTAATAGCCCCTTCCTCCCATTCACCTTTGTTGCCCAATCCAATGCATATGAACGATTGTCCTGCTCCAGCCCATCATTCCCATCATTGAACTTTCTTGATTCGAGGTGACATGGTAGTATGGCAACAATAGGTGTTGTTGGATCATCATTATCATGTAAAGTGTAAAATGACACACATCCTTTTGCTATACGATTTCTTTTATTTACGCGTGCCTATTGCCTATCGCGAGGGTGATGATGGATGATGATGGGTGAGTTGTGTGTTTGGGTGGATGGTGTGTGTAGGGTAATTGATGAGCGGCCTCAGTGTAATAGCAGTAGGGGATTTAAACTTGGGGACGGTGGCTCCACGACTTGATACAACGCTTCTCTTTCTCTTTGTCGCTCGTCTGGTTTTATCGCCTTCACGACATCCCAATCAAGGTAGGTAATGTGTTATCAAAGAGTGCTCTTGTTGACTGTGAGGTAACATGCATTGTCAAGGAGTGAGAGTGTGTCCAAGTGCCGAGGAATGAGCGTGGTGGGTGGGTTGGCTATTGCCATGGCGATACGGTTGCTTCCTCTTGTTCGTTGCTATTCCCGCCTTACGCTTGTTGGTGTCAACAGGTACATTCAGAGCCCAATGTTGCAGCCGAATTGGTTCCATTGACGCGTCAGCTTGTATAGAGGGCAAGTTTGGTTTCAAGACGTTGGCTGGTTTGGCGTTTTGTTTCGGCTCAACACTACTACACCATGGTTTTCGGTTTCCAGTGACCAACAACAACGGATCTTTATGTATATGGGAAAGGCAAGTACAATGAAACAAACAATGAAAAGGGTGTTCATTGTGCGTGTGCTAATAATGAATTGAATAGGTTTCTTTGGTCAGGCAATGCAACTTGGGGCATCATCATCATCTTTTTGGGTTCAAATCCCAGCCTGGATCAAGTGGCCAGTTGTTGGAAAAGCTTCTTGGAACGCGTCCAGGGCTCTATAGGCTTGCGTTGAGTTGAGGATGGGTCGATGACGATGGGTTTTTGGAAGAGCATGGTCACCGTGTTGAGGTAAAAAGGGATTTGCAACAGCTCGTGAATGTGTTGAACCAACACGGTCTTCTCGTGATAGGCTCGTTTTTTTCCCTTGAGGATTTCTTTTCATGAGGTAGGAAATGGTTGGAAGGATTGGGGATCATTCTTTCTTTGGGGAGGATGAGTGAGGACAACTATGTGCCTGGACTCTACGTAAGTGATGTCCTTCCTTGCTAACTTGGCTGCTTTTTATTTATAGAGACGACCATTATGATGATTACCACATTCACAGCAATGACAATGATAACGACAACGAGATTCAAAAGGAAACCTGCAAGATCCCATTCTTTTCTACTTGCGTGTTTTGGATATTGATGACGAGCAGATTACGACTGTAGACAAGTACGAGTACGAATACGAATGATGACCGAAGACAAAGACGAGGATGGTGGCACTACTTGGACTTTGCTAGCTTGTGGATTACATAATGTAGCTTGGAAGATGGAATAATAAAGGTGGTTCGCTTATGTATGGTTCATGCAAGAAGTATATGCCTTTGGTGATACAATAAGGAGTGGGATGACCTTGAGAAGAGAAAAAGTGAACCATCAATAACATCTTACTGCCATGTCCGTGCGCACTGAATTCATTATTGGGTCTACATGTACAAATTGGTTTATGCAGCTCGACCTTTCCCTACATCCGAATGTGTTATGGAACCATTATTATTGCCATTGACACACCTTCCTTATTGGATGATGTATACCCCAACTTACATACATACCTTCCTAGAGACAATCATCATCACCATCCATTTGTGCAACAACCTGTGAAGGACATGCGCGTGTAACCACCACCTGCCATTGAAATAAAGGAAACGGAACGTGCCCAGCAGCAAGGCCTGAATGTGTATACCCTGCCATATGAGTCGAGGTGTCCATGTACAAAGTCATCTATCTACTATCAAGCACCCTTTGGTGCACAACTGCTACTAGGGATGACTCGAAAGGTCTCAACAAATACACACGTAAAGAGATACAATGAGGGGAAAGATATGATATGGAACAGGGGAGGAAACAGAGATGATGTATGATAGGATTGCACAATGATGGGAAATAGAATGGGAATATGGGTATATACTCCTTCGAATAGAAACACACACACTAGCCGGCAAGGCACACACAAAGGCACACACAAAACTTGGGAAGATCACTCTTGGTTCTTTATTTGATGTGGGGTTATTTATATACTTTGGATAAAATTGCACTACATGGAAAGATTGTTTTACTGATATTATGCATGGTTTGTGGGATGTTGGGGTGAGGTCTCGGATGCCGGTCTTTTCATTTTGGGCTGCTTCATCACATGCTGGGCTGTCATCCTTCACTACACCATTTCACTCAGTTCTCCATCTTTCCGTTAATGCAGCCGACACCATCCAGCATCCACTAGGAGAAAGCAACTCCACCAAGCTTACAGCATACGCAAAACATAAAGGCACTTGTATCTCACGATTTTACAATCAAACATGGGGTCTTTAATAGAACCATGTGCTCGGCTTGGCCAACAGCACCTTGTGTGAAAGTTTCACGATCAAGCTTGCCAATCCCAGATTTCGCAATGTCGCTACCAGCCAAACTAGATCCCGGGGGTCGACCTCTTCGACGACGACGACCAAAAAATATATTTTTGGGCTAGTTGCGACATTGAACGTAAAACGTGCACACAAGGTGCTGTTGGCCAAGCCGAGCCCATTGCTCTAATAAAAACCCCACGTTTCATTGTAAAGTTTGGAGATACAGGCACCTTTATGTTTGTAAGCGTGATGCTATATGAGAAGTGGTCTTTGTTTAATGTAAAGTAGCTAGACCCTGACAGAGCAAAAGATGCAGAGGGACCTCTTTGTGTAACTCAGCTACTTTGCATGGATGGAAGGATGATACTGTATACTATTGACAATAGCCGATACATTGCGAGCTAACAGCCACTTTTATCCAATCGGCATTGTTGCAAAATCTACTGCATGGGAACGATGCTCCTGCTCCAGCCGAGCATTTCCATCATTCAAGTTTCTTGATCCGAGCCGATTTGGCTGAGCTACGCCCAAACAGCGAATCTGTAAATTAATGAATCGCAGACCCTGCGAATGTCTCCGTCTTTCAAACTTTTGGACGCTCCCATTCCAAATTTTCAAATAAAGGATGAGCTCTTTATTAGAAAAAGTTGATCAGCATGCTCGAGAGCACCATACTGACCAATTGACAAGTTGGAGGTGGGCAACTTCGGGGCGGTGGGCCGTCCGCTCTTTATTGGCCGTCATCCACCATTTGGAGCGCCCCGCATTTTCACTCTTTACAATGAAGTCTGCGACTTTTAAATGAATGAGGTTGATCAGCATGTCATAGCGAATCTTCTGATAAAGTTACAAGTTCGAAACGGGGAATCCCAAGGTAATACATACTACTTCGATAAATAATGAATCTGGGGCTGACCTCCTTTCCGACCTCCATAGTAAATCCCACATTATACCCTCTCATTCAATTTTTTCAAATGAAGCATGAGGTCTTTTTTAGAACATCATGATCAGCATGTCCAAGAGCATCTTGTGTGAAAGTACCAGGTTCGAGAGGGGCAATCTCATAATCAAGAATTGATGTACAGCGTGCATGCATTTATACAAGAGGTGTCCGGCCTATTTAATTTCCACTTCTTCCACCTCAACTTCTTCCCCCCTTCCTCCCATTCTTATCTGTTGGCCCCATTCA